TCTGTCCTTCAGGAGGCCATGGCCAAGAGTGGGGTATGTGTGTGGCGGGGAGAGCTAGTAGGAGCTTTTACATTTTTATTTATTATTAATCTGTTTATAAAAAACCTTCCTTTATTATCGAAGGTTTCAAACACCCAAAAGTAGAAAAAATAGTGTGGTGGACCTTCTTTTTCCCAACACCCAGCTTACCAACATTTTATTAATCTTCTTTCCTCCATCTGCACCCCTCCCCCACCTCATCCAATATATATACACCCTTGTAGTTTTGTTTTTATTTTTTATTTATTTAATTTTTAAAGATATTATTTATTTATTTATTTGACAGAGAGATAGAGAGCACAAGTAGGCAGAGTGGCAGGCAGAGGGAAAGGGAGAAGCAGGCTCTCTGCCGAGCAGGGAGCCCGATGCGGGGCTCGATCCCAGGACCTTGGGATCACGACCTGAGCCAAAGGCAGCCGCCTAACTGACTGAGCCACCCAGGCGCCCCTGTAGTTTTGTTTTTAAAAGCAAAGTAAGGGCACATGGGTGGCTCAGTCGTTAAGCATCTGCCTTTGGCTCAGGTCATGATCCCGGGGTCCTGGGATCGAGCCGCGCATCGGGCTCCCTGCGCGGTGGGAAGCCTGCTTCTCCCTCTCCCACTCCTCCTGCTTGTGTTCCCTCTCTCCTGTGTCTCTCTCTGTCAAATAAATAAAATCTTAAAAAAAAAAAAAAAAAGTAAAGTAAATTGGGGTGCCTGGGTGGCTCAGTCACTTAAGTGTCTGCCTTCAGCTCAGGTCATGATCTCGGGGTTCTGGGATCAAGCCCCATGTCAGGCTCCCTGCTCAGCGGGGAGTCAGCTTCTCCCTTTCCCTCTGTCTCTGCCCTCTACTCATGCTCGCTCTCTCTTTCTCTCTCAAAGTAAATACATAAAATCTTTAAAAAAAAAAAAAAGCAAAGTAATTGTACAGTTTGGTCTGACGTTAATGGTTAGTGGCGTTATTTTTGTGATTTGTCCCCGTTGCTCAGAGCAGTGCAGGCAGAACGGTCATTGGGCTGTTGTCATGGTACCTGGGTATGCGTGGCTCTGCCATTTTGTTTGCTGTCTATCTGTCTCTCCTTGATCTTGCTCCTCCATTTGGATTCATGACATTCTGGTCAAGAGCCAGGTCCAGTGGTTTTCAGTCAGGGCTTTGGAAGCCATGTGGGGGTCTTTTTGGGTCAGTACAGTGACTGGGGATGCTGCTGCTGGCATTTAGGCTGACAGGGGCCCTGGGGGGTAGGAAGCAGGGGTGTTCCTTGGTCATAAATGTCAGGGGATGGTTCTGCACAGTGAGCACTTGTCCTGTCCCGTCCACCGTTGGTCATGCTCCTGGGCACTTTTTTTTTTTATGTTTTATTTTTAAGTAATCTCTTTGTCCAGTGTGGGGCTGGAACTCATGACCCCAAGAACAAGAGTCCCACGTTCCACCAACTGAGCCAGCCAGACCCCGCCCAGCTGCTGGGCACTTCAGAATGTACAGTGTGGATCAGGGATTGACTCTCTCTTGATGCTTTTTAAGGCTTAAAATTTGATGCAATCCCTTTGGCCTAGATCTCTTTTGAGTCATGCAATCAGGAGACTGTAACTGGTCTCTGGCACGTTTTAAGGATTCATCGTTTGATCCAAATTCTTTGTTTGTATTACTTGGGCAAATGGGTATTTTGCAGCCTGTGTCCCAACTTTACATTGTCCCTTTTTCTGCCTGTCATTATCATTAGCATCCCTGCCACTGCCCGGTGGAGAATGGGGATGGAGACAGTGACATTTAGCTTGACAGGTCGTTTGCAGCTTTTTTGTGCCCCAGGGACTGCTGGTGAGAGAGAGGTTGTGGAAGATAAACCACGAAAGGGTCGTAGCCTGCAGGGGCAGGCTTGTATGATATTCTTCGGCTTCTTTCAGCCATCAGCCTGGTGCTAGGGAGGAAGCACCCCATAGCAGGTGGTACCTGATTATCTTGGGTGCAGTTGGGGAGCCTCTGTGGGCGAAGCATGGCAAGTCACCCTTCTGAGTTCTTTTTATTTTCAGCCTCACTCTAGATGGATGGCAGCCTTCCTCAGTGGGAAATGAAATGTGTTCAGACAACTTGGGCCCCAGGCACAGATGAGAATGGGCTAATGGTCACTGAGGAAGGAGCTGAGGGGGAGACACACAGTTAGTCATTAGTAATCTGTGACAGCTGCCGGCCACTGCCAATTAGCACCGACTGTGCCCAGGACGCAGGCGCTCTGGGCTTGTCCTTTCTGGAGGACTCTGGGGCCCAAACGCCTGTCTCAGCCTTTGTGCTGTTCAGGCCCCAAATCCGCATGAAAGGGGCGATTGGTAACTTGATGCAGGACAAGGGGAGCCCCTGGTCGACCTGAGTAGATGGTCCAGCCAACATGCACGTTTCTGCACTTGCCACAGTAATCTCACTTAACTCTTACACCAACCCTGCGGCGTAGGTAATTAGGACTATCCCCACTTTATACTCGAGGAAGCTGAGGCACAGACAGGATAGTATCTCGGCAAAGTAGAAGCTGAGGTTAGAGGCCAGCCTCCGTTAGCTCAGAGAAGAGTGTGAGTTATTCTGAAAAGCTTAGACTTGGTCTCAGGCAGGGGGAGCCATCGAAGATTGAACAGGGAGGGCCTGGGTGAAATTTGCCTTTTATAGAGCGAGCTCGGGCCTGCACCTCCACCAGCGAAGTGTCACACGAAGTTTGGCTCGTAAGTGAGCGCTCGAGCGCTTCACTGTCAGGTTGGTTTTGAATCAAGCAGCTAATTATTTCCTAGGACAACCCCACTCTTTATAGCTTTTGTTGATGTTGTTTCTCTTCACTGGTTTGACTTTTAAGTGGTGAGTCAGTTTGCAGTGTTTGAGCTTCTATTTGAACCTCACCTTAACCAACTGAGCCACCCAGGCGCCCCCTATTTGAACCTCACCTTAACTGTCTGAAAATCACGATTGAACCTTCTTCCTAACACGGCAATATCGCTCGGTAAGACTGGCTCACAGTTCAGAGGAAATGCCAGCCCGCAGAAGGCAAACGGCTTTAATTACTTAATCTGAGCTCATTTTAAAAATTGGAATGACCGTCTAATCATCAGAGTTCTGTGTACATTGTATTTTATTCCTGCCCAGGTTCCAGCTAGCTAACTACTTTTGTTATGAGCTGTGCGTCAAGGCCAAATACTGCATTTTCAAACCAGGAGTCAAATAGCAATTTAAAATCCTGACTTTCATAACTGCCTGTAAAAGTCAGATAAATGAAGTGGAAATATAGTGGGCCGCTTGTTATGAAACATTGACTCTTTCTCCTGGTAGAAACCTTTATGAGCTAGCCATTTTGGAATTTATATATGCATATACAACACACATGTATTTTCTTTTTAGTTTGCCTTCCACTTTCTTGATTTGCCCACTTGTGATTTCTGCTTACAAATTAGACTTTTTGGAAACTAATGGTCCCTTAAAGAGGAGGTACACTTGGAGGTGCATGGGTGGCTCAGTCGGTTAAGCGTCTGCTTTTGGCTCAGGTCATGATCCCAGGGTCCTGGGTTTGAGTAACAGGTCGGGCTCCCTGCTCAATGGGGAGTCTGCTTCTCCATCTCCCTTTGCCTCTCCCATCCTTTGTGCTCTCTCTCTCAGATAAATAAGTCTTAAAAAAAGAGGTACTTTTTATAATTTTGAAAATAAAACCTACCTCTTGAACAGGCATCAACCTGGCTTGTCCACCTTCCTGTCTGTTTCTGCAGCTGGTCCTTCTCTGCTTCCCCACGTCTCCTCTTTCACTGGGGCTAGCCTCACTGTGGCTGCCTCATTTAGTCTCTCCCTGATCGCGTTCCCCACCTCCTTCCCCTGCAGAAGTGTCCCTCCTGACCCCTTGCTCCAGGAGCCTGACGGTCTCTTCCTCACTCCCTGGCTGGGGAAAAGCTAGGGAGCAGGTGTTTGTGTAGCTGCAGTAGACGCAGCCTGGCTGCCTAGCGCACCAACGTGGGTTTCTGGCACAGGGGGAACAAAGCTTGCATGCCCACGATACAGCGATACCTAGCACCACTTCTGTTGTATCCAGCTGGGAGAGCTGAAGCATAGCTTGCTCTGAATTACACAGTGGTGAAAGTAGGCAGCAGATCATAAAGTCAAGAGCATGATCACAACTGTTATTTATATACTCTACGCAGATGCTCATTGGCTTTCATCTTTTTTTTAAATTTATTTATTTATTTTTAGTAATCTCTACACCCAATGTGGAGCTCGAACCCACAACCCTGAGATCAAGGGTCACATGCTCTTCTGACTGAACCAGCCAGGCACCCTGACTTTCATTTTTTTTTTTTTTTTTGGTTAAGATTTTATTTATTTACTTGAGAGAGAGAGCATGAGCATGAGTGAGGGGCAGGGAGAGGGAGAAGCAGGCTCCTCACAGAGCAGGGATATGTGGGGTTCGACCACCCAGGCGCCCCCCCAACTTTCATTCTTAATAATTGTTATTTTAAAAGGTTTCTCTACTAATAAATATTAACTCACTGTAAAAAAATTTAGGCCAAAAAATGAAGAAAACGCCTTCATAATCCCACTACCCTGAAAAAAAAAAATCCCCATTACTTTTTTGGTGCATATTCTTCTGCCATTTCTTAGATACACAGGCAAATGCAAACATATGGCTTATGTAATAATACTGTTTTGGAAGTCTGACCTTCTTTTCACTTAACACTTACTCTGATCTTGTTTTCAAGGCATTAAAAATTCTCCTAGAATGTATTTCTAAATGACCGCAGAACATTTGTTAGTATGAATTAATGGTAGTGTTATACAGGCAGCCCTTTCTTACTGGAAATTGTTTTTGGCACTGTTGATACAGTTTTAAGATGAGCATTCCTGTAGCTGTTGCAACCCTGAGCCTTTCCTAGGATAAATTTCTTAAAGCAGAAATGATGAGCCAGGCTTTTTTTTTTTTTTTTAAGCTTTTGACGTGGAATAATACTTACTTTTTTTCCTCTCCAGACACTACAACAACAGGAGTGCAAACTTCTCTACAGCCGAAAAGAGGGTCAGAGGCAAGAAAATAAGAACAAAAATAGATATAAAAACATCCTGCCCTGTAAGTATTAATATTCTGTTCAGTAATATTCACTCTTGGAGAGTTTGATTCCTCAGTGTCCCTGTAACTTTTCCTGGGTGCCACATGCCTCCTCAGAAGATCCGAGGTCTTAGCCTCTTTCAGTTGTGAGTGGTTTCCAAAATCGTCAACGTGGTGGGGAGAGTTGACGTTCACTGAGTTCCTGTGATGCCTGTACTGGGTAAAATTGCACCAGGTGGTCTTGAGTGGGTTGTTTCCTTCTCTTAATTAATTTTGTCTGCCTAAGAGTGAGAATCTCAAGGCTTGCCATCTCCCTGGATCAGGCCACATCAAGGCCCTCAGAGGTTCCAGGCTTGTGTCCTTGCACTTCAGCACTTAGCCTGTGGGGCTTGGGAAATGCACGCCTCCTTGCCGGGACTCCATTCCTTCTTCTGGGCAACAGGCAGCTTCCCCCCGAGGACTCTTCAACTGCTCTGCTCCCTCATCTCCTGAGCTCGAGTTACAGGAGATATAGGTACATACCTACACTCTGCTCTGAGAAGGACCCTGAGGTATCCATAAAGCGTTTAATCCCCAGATGCTGCCTGGTAGAGCCCAAGCTGAGCCACAGGGAACAGAGGCCTGGAGGGATGGAGGTCTTAGGTGAGGACCCCAGAGATGGCACGAAGCAGTTGTCGTAGCTCCCCTCTCATGAGGGCTGACTCTGTGCCAGGCTCTGCATCTGTCTCACTTACTTCTTACCACAGCACAGAAAGCAGGTGTTCTTATTTCCCTGGTTTTATAGGCCATTTTAGCAAGGTTGCAAGCAAGGGAGGACTGGCATAGGAACCCCCAAAGTACCATGCTCTTTCTTGGAGGGATCTCCAGAGTGGGCTGTGCAGGGCAGTCCACTGGGGGGAAGGGAAGGAACATTTAGAACTTCTCTTGATTTATATCCTTTCTCTAAAAAGAGAAAGAAAGAAAAATTTAAATCTGACATACAGATTGATGGCAGTGCATGCATAATGTATTTACCAACTTAAAAATAGGGCTTGTTTATATGTATGTGTGTATATATTTCAGTGTTCAAAAACTTCACAATTAAAGTTCATTGGGATGCATGAGCAAATACGGTGAGCATTGCTCTAATGTCTCATCAGGTCCAAGCCATTTTGTCAGGTATCATAAACACGCATGTATGTGTGTGTGTGTAGCATGGTCTTTCTCTTTCTGTGTACATATGTACACATACATGGTACATATGTACCTCACATCGATATGGTTATTTGAGATTTGTGTAGGTGAGGATGGGAGGAAGTGGGGGCATTAATAATAGTGAGAAAAGGCAATAGGAATTTGCAGAGAATCAGTCTGAGTCACACCATGGTCCTGATGACCTTGGGGAAGCCTCATCCTGTTTATGTCTAAGTTTTCCTTTCTGCTTAGGAGACCTAATGGAACTCATTAGTAAGATGCAGGGATGTAGGAAAAGGTGACGGGAACAATGGTATGCAGTATCTGAATAGAGTATCATTGCCTTTTCCTCTCTTAATCCCAGTCAGATGCTTCCTCTTGATTAACATCTTATTTCTTTAGAGATGGGGAGTCCAAGACATACAGCTATATTACTAATTCCCATTGTAAAGTAATTTTTTGTTTAAGAGAGGGAGGGTGGGGAGGGGCACAGGAGAGGGAGAGAGAGAATCTTAAGGAGGCTCCATGCCCAGTGTGGAGCCCGACTCAGGTCTCGATCTCACAACCCAGAGATCATGACCTAAGCTGAAATCAGGAGTCGGACATTTAACCGACTGGCCACCCAGCTGCCCCTCCTATTGTAAAATAAGTTGCTTAGGTAGAGCACTGAGATTTCTCTACCAGTAATGTACTTTTGTACAGAATTTAGTCATCTGATACTATCAGAATTTTATCTTCTAGATACTATATTTCATTCTGCTTCATTAAAAAAAAGCCACCATTTTTATTATGGAAAGTTTCAAATATATTCATAAGTAGACAGAATAGTATAAAGAAGCATACATACCTGCTTCCCAGCTCCCAACATTGTCAACTCATACCAGTCCTGTTTCATTTATACTCTGAGCCACTTCTCCTCTCTCCCCAAATTATGTTGAAGCAAATCTCAGACATTATGTCATTTATCTGTACTTTACTCTTCTTTTTGTTTAAAACAAACAAACAAACCCATTTTTTGTTTTGAAATACTTTTAGACTCACAAGAAGTTACAAAAATATACAGAGGGTTCCCATGTACCCATTATCCAGCTTCTCCCAGTGATAATATCCTGTATATCTGTAGTACCTTATCAAGACCAGGGAGTTGCTGTTGCTACTTTATTCTTCTTTTTTTTTTTTTTTAAACTTTATATATTTATTTATTAGAGAGCTAGCGAGAGAGAAACAGCATGAGAGAGGAGAGGGTCAGAGGGAGAAGCAGGCTCCCCACTGAGCCGGGAGCCCGACGTGGGACTCGATCCCAGGACCCTGGGATCATGACCTGAGCCGAAGGCAGTCGCTTAACCAACTGAGCCACCCAGGCGCCCGCTACTTTATTCTTCTTAAAGATAGCATTTTGAGGCATCGTGTGGTGATCAGATCATAGTCGTGCTCATTTGGGAGTTGATTTTTTATGTGGTTTTATCATTAAGTGAGCAAAACTTGGACTGGGTTGAGGATTAACTGATCTGAAATGATTTGTCCTGAAGAGGTGTGACTGTGGTCTCTTTTTCTTCCAGTTGATCATACCAGGGTTGTCCTACACGATGGTGATCCCAATGAGCCTGTTTCAGATTACATCAATGCAAATATTATCATGGTAATCTTTGCTTTCCACAGTGTTTTCTGACCATACATTGCTAGCCATTTTTTTGTATTTTGTATTTCTTGTGACCTGAAAGCAACTTTCAAGTATTTGAAGGATTTTCTTCCTAAATTTCTAGCCTGAGTTTGAAACCAAATGCAACAATTCAAAGCCCAAAAAAAGTTACATCGCCACACAAGGCTGCCTGCAGAACACGGTGAACGACTTTTGGCGGATGGTATTTCAGGAGAACTCCCGAGTGATTGTCATGACAACGAAGGAGGTGGAGAGAGGAAAGGTACACTCCATGCTCGTCTGATAAAACATTTGTAAAGTATCGGCCATGTCGGGTTGAACAAGTTAAGAATTGAATAAACAAATTAAGCTTACTCTAACTGACCCTCTGGAGAAAAGGGAGTAAAAGAAGTTTGATTGTGACACGCCTTGGGGTAGTTTTCTTTATGTTCCTTCTGCTTGGGGTTCATTGAGCTTCTTGAATCTGTGGATTTATAGTTTTCTCTAAATTTGGAAATGTTTATTATTTCTGCAAACACAGGACACCAATTACACGTATATTAGGCTGCTTGACGTTGTCCTGTGGCTTACTGAGGCTTTGCTCATTTTGTGCCGTTGTCTTTTTTTCCCCATTGTTTAATTTTGGATAGTTTCTTTTGCTGTGTGTCTTTAAGTTAATCTTTTCTTCTGCAGTGTGTCACCTGCTGTTAGTACTATTTAGTGTGTTTTCCATAGGAGACATTGTCTTTTTCATCTCTAGAAGTTTTATTGTCATTGTTTTTAATGTCTTCTGTGTCTCTCTTTTTAACTTAAGCCTTTTGGACATGTGGAGTATATTTGTAATAACTGTGTTAATGTCCTTGTTATTAATTCTGTTATGTATGTCTTTTCATTCTTCCTGTTTTTTACTTGTTTAAGGTGGGAAGGTAAATCCAGACCCTGTTACTCTATTGTATACAGGAGCAGAGGTCCCCAAGGGAGTGTGAGAAGGCCCGTCTGGTTCCTTCAGGGGATTAGAGTACTAACAAATAGTGATTTCATTGGTCATATAAATTATACTTATCACAACACATAAGCATTTAAACATTACTTTGAATTATTCAAGCAGTATATTCATGTAAATATCCAAACACATTATGGTTACGGTTAAAGTTGCCTTTGTCACTGTCCCTTGTCCACCCATTTAAAATCCCTGTTACCAGTGTGATGCGATCTTCTTGGCGCGTACATACATACATACATGTATGAGAGGCATTACCGTAGGCGTTACGTACCTGCATTTATGTGTATGCGTGTACTTATATAATGTATGTGTGCCTATGGAAGTATATAGTACTGTTTTCTGAAAAATACTGTATGTAAAAGTGTTTTCATACACTAACTTTATTGTGCATCTTGGGCTCCACCCAAATGAATGTTCTAACACCTACTGTTAGTACATAGTGGCCTATTTCCTTTTTTTTAGTAATTGCATTATGTTCCATAGTAGGGACGTACCATAGGTTATTTCACTGTTATGTATTGAGCATTTATTTTTTAAAGATTTTATTTATTTATTTGACAGAGAGAGAGAGAGCGAGAGCGGGAACACAAGCAGGGGGAGTGGGAGAGGGAGAAGCAGGCTTCCCGCGGAGCAGGGAGCCCGATGTGGGGCTCGATCCCAGGACCCTGGGATCATGACCTGAGCCGAAGGCAGCTGCTTAACGACTGAGCCACCCAGGCGCCCCATGTATTGAGCATTTAAATGTTTCAGTTTTCGCTCTTAACAAACAGTGCTAAAGTGAATAATCCTATTCTTGCTTGTGTTTGTATGGCAAGTTTTCTCTAGGTTAGATGTCAACAAAAGGAATGCTAGGTCATAGGGTATGCGTGTTGTGTTGTAAATTTGAAGTGATTCGGCCAGACTGCTCCCAGAGTGGTTGTACCAGCATGCCCCCTCCAACCACCACCCAGCTGCTATGTCAAGTACTCATCTCCCCACACTCTTCATGACACTTCAGGTTTTTTAAAAATTGTAACATCCCACACCTACAGAGAAGCAGACAGATCTCATTGAGTGACATTTCTGTGTGTTATCCCAAAGTGAGCCCATCCATGTGGGTTTTTTTTTTTTTTTTTTTAAGATTTCATTTATTTGACAGAGAGAGACAGCGAGAGAGGGAACACACGCAGGGGCAGTGGGAGAGGGAGAAGCAGGCTCCCGACTGAGCAAGGAGCCCGTTGCAGGACTCGATCCCAGGACCCCGGGATCATGACCTGAGCCGAAAACGGACGCTCAGCGACTGAGCCACCCAGGCGCCCCCATGTGGGTTTTTAATATGGAAAAGTTCTGCATTTTTGTCCAAGTTCTTTTGTAGTTATACTTTAACTAGTTTACATAAAATTTGCATGGAATATAGCAGTCATACCTTTAAGTTAAAGCTAAGATAGAGGGGTGATTTTGGTGTCGGGCGCTCCCAGTGTAATTTTCCTTTCCGTTTTGAAGGGCACATTGATTTTGTAGGATTTTCATCATTTGCTAGCTAGTCGTTATGCTTCTGAAAACCTTAGAGGCCAGATCCGGTCATTGTGAAACAGACCTTCCTGCAGTAACATGAGGTGTTTGATGGACAGGTTAAAATGTCTTCGTAGTTTCTGCTTCAGATGAGTGTCACCTGTCCTGAGTATAGAAAGGAAAACTGAGCCGTCTGTCCTGCCTGTTATCTGGTTCGTAGGAGGATACCTCTCCTCACGGAACCTGGGGGTGAAGAGAGATTTCATTTTTTGTTCTCTGCTGAGTCTCCTGAGCAACCAACAGTCACAGAATTGATTGGCCAGCAATAGCACTGAGTGCAATTAATATTAAAAGTGCTTATTTGGGGATAATAAAAATTGTACCAAATCTGTCAAAGAGGTATTTGGGTCTACCAAATACTGCAGGGAAAGCTGAATTCAGAATAATAATAAATCAAAGACCATGTAAACCATTGCCAGGCAAAAAAGTTGCACTATTAATTCTTCTGTTCAACTTTCCTTCTGCCATGTTTGTTTTTTTTTTCTTTCAGTTAATCGTTGACTGTGGGGATGCCTGCAGCAGCTCTCTTAATTATAGTTTTATAACTGAATTTCTCTGTCTTCCTAGTATAAGAGGTAAATTTCTCTTGCTGATACTGGTGTCTTGGTGGTTGTGGAAAGTCTGCTCCCAGAAAAAAACAGAACACGAAAACATTCTCTGCCCAGGACACCAAATATATACAGACTCATCTCTCATTGAGCCAATATCTTCCTCTTTGGTACCAAGAATGGTTTACTTGGTGCCATATTTTTCAATCTGTCTGCTCTGAAGCCAGCAGCTGTTGCAGGCTCGGTGTTCCCAGGCACCCAGGGAAGCGAAGGTGACGTGTGTAGTAGGTAGCAAATGGATCTGGATATAGAAGAAGCAGCTGGTTCAAAACCCCACCGGCTGCCTTGCTGTGCTGGAGTTGTTCACACTTGGGTTAGATAAGGCATGGAGTCCTCCTGCATGGGTGCGGAAGTGAGCCAGACCGTCTGCTCTTTGGGCAACCCGTCCACCTCCAGAGTGCTTGCTTTCTTGCCTTCCCTGCAGAGTGACTGGCAGATCTCTGGAAGTCAGAATTCAGTGATTGCTAGACAGAACCCTCAAACCATCTAGTCCCTCACTCTGCATCTTCGCTTCTTTAGAGATAAATGAGCAGTCCTTGACTGTCCTTTGACATGCATCTTAGACCAGACAACTCTGCAAGCTTTCCATGCACCTGCTTTTCTTATTTGAACTTTTTTCTCCTTTTCTTTGAAAATCCACCAGATGCCAGACAGGCCATTTTCCGAATATTGTTCATTAAGCAAGACTTGAATAATTTTTTTCCCCAAATACTTATTTTCCTCTGGTTTAGGCTTTTAATTTCAGAGTTCAGAGAGATTAACTGTCTTTTCTCTGATCCCTTTCAGAGTAAATGTGTCAAATACTGGCCTGACGAGTATGCTCTAAAAGAATATGGGGTCATGCGTGTTAGGAACGTCAAAGAAAGTGCTGCTCATGACTATACATTAAGAGAACTTAAACTTTCAAAAGTTGGACAAGTAAGTATATTGTCGTATTTTAGGGACTTCGGTAACTGGTTTTGGCATGCAGTAATCCAAGGTCATGCAGTTACTCGTGTTTGTATGCATTCATGCCATTTATCGGGTGCCTTCTATGGACCAGGTGCATGCTGGTACATTGCCAACACGACAGGTGCAATCCCTGCCCCCAAAGAGCCTGGGGAGATAGAAGGTTAAAAAGTAAACAACCAACTAAGCTTTCTGATGGTGTTCCGTCTGCGAAGGCTGCAGGAAGTTATGTTAGAAGCGACTGGGTACTTGAGATGGAGTAATCAGGGAGAGCCTCTCTGAGGTGGTATCACTTGAGCTGAAGGCGGGGGAGCCAGGCATCCAGAGAGTCCGGAGAACAGTGTTCCGAGCAGCGGGAGCGGCGGCTGCAAAGCCCCTGAGGCCTGTTTCGTGATCAGATTCTATGGCCTCAGATCTTAATTGCGTGTAGTTTAAGTTTGTCACGGGGGTGACCGCCTTCACAGAGCAGGGTTAGATTTAGATTCATTTTAATTTTGTGGTTCGAGGGGGCTTACTTTTTCCGGGTCTTTTGGGAACCCAGAGATGAACGAAGTCTTTGAGGAGTTGAAATCGTGTAGCAGCGAGAAGCCACACGCTCAGACAGCTGTGCCCCAGAGCCATGTGCCGTGGGATGTTGCGAAGGCCGGGCTTCCTTCCAGCTGGGGCATCAGGGAGGCGGTTTCAGAAGACGCTGGGCTTTTCTGGGTGAGGTTTCCACTGGAGAAGATGATGGAGAGAGGGCCTCCCAGGTGGAGGTGTCACGTGAGCCCTGGCCCTGATGTGCAGACTGAAGGGAAATGGGATTTATGGGGAACAAAGGCAAGTAGCGAATCGAGGGAATCAGCCTGAGAGAGGTGGGGACCAAGGCGGGAAGAGTCTTAACTCTCGTGTTCGGAACAGTGAACTCTGCGCGTTAGGCAGCTGGGTGCCTGTGGCCGAGGCTCCCTCCAGGAGAACGCACACGCAGAGCTGCGTGCCAGGAAGGTGTGTGACAGCCCTGGGTGGGGAGGCCCGGGCCGGGTGACCCGAGTGGCCAGCAGGCCCGCTAGGAGGCTGCTGGGTGGTGTGGGTCCGGCAGCCTCCTCTCCAGGTCAGATCCCAGGGCCTCCAGCACTTGGTTTTTGTTTGTATGTTTGTTTGTTTCCTTATTCCTGCCTTTGGAAATGAATATTACACAAAATGCCAGAATAAATGGAAGAGGAGCGACCATGTGCCAGATGCCTTGAGGCGGCACCTGCAGGACGTGGGGATGGTTGGGCTGTTGGAGGAGGAGGGGGGAGAACCAAACGCAGTGTGAGTGGCCCTGCGGTGAGGGCAGAGGAGCGGGCAGAAGCTGTGCAGCAAGGCAGGGCTTGAATCGTCCAAGTGAAAGGTGGTGCGGTGGTGGCAGGGCCGTGGACAGAAGAGGACCGCCTGGAGGTAACAGGAGTAGGTGGGAAGGGTTTGGTGACGGTGTGGATGGGGGGCGAGGGGCAAGGGTGGCGTTAAGGATGACCACCAGTTTTCTAGCTTGAGCGTGGGGTTGGTGGCACTGGATTTGAGAAGGGAGGGAAGGGTGAACACCTCCTGGACAGGTAAAGTGTGAGATGCCTTTGAGACATCAAAATGAAGAGGCCAGGGAGGCAGGAATGGAGAATGGCCGAGGAGGGGAGGTGGGCTCCAGTGCATCGTGGATGAATGGATGGCAGCAGGACGGAAGGAGGAGGAGGTGACCACAGATGCAGATAGAGGAGCTGACGTGCAATTTCTCAATGTTCTCTATGAGGCAAGGCCATCAACTGGCATTCGAAGGGAATCAGAGACGAATTATCCTTGGAAAGTGGGAAAAGTATCCAGTAGTAATGGGTAGAGGTGATGAGGAATCCAGCGAGTTTTTAGGCAGTGCTGAATGCCCAGTTGAGCTGGTGAACTTGAACATTTAGCGACACCAATCCCCTGGTGTGATTTTTCTCCAAGGACACTGTTCCTCAGGTATAAAACAGAGAAGGTGGGTGGTTGGTTTTGTCCAGGCCTGGGGCTTTGTTCAGGGGTGCAGTGGATGGAGAGAGAGTGGAGGGTGATTGTCAGAATAGTACACCATGGAGGGGGGGCACCTGGGTGGCTCAGTTGGTTGAGCTCCATGTTGGGCACCATGCTGGGCGTGGAACCTACTTAAAAAGAAAAAAAGTAGTACGCAGACTCCAAGCCCAACAAGGAGCAGTGGGGGCAGGAGGAGGTGGGTGGAGAGTGGGAGAGGGCTCACTGGTCTGCTGAGCTCCATGAGGTGGTCAGGGGACCAAAGCGAGCTAGAAGCCTGGGCGGTTGTGGCCCAGGATGGGATGCTGGAACTTCTGATGTTAGCAGGGGTGTGCTTCTGCTGATGGTGGGGTAGGGGGAGGTTTACTCTGCTGCAGAGACTGAGAGAGAGGCTGGGAAAACATAGCTGTCAAGCAGAAATGGAAGAGATTTAGAGGACACTGGCCAGAGATTCCACATAGGTTTGTTCAGTTTTAGGCTAAACCGCCCATCTGCTTGTTATCAGGTGTTTCTGAGTAGCAGGTGGATGTTTCTTCAGTTTTAGTGCTAACAGTGGTTTTTAAGCATCAGGTACAGGAAATGTTGGCATCTGGGTTTGTGTTTTATACCCGTGGATTCAGGTGCCGTCATAGAACAGGTGATTTCTCCAGAATTATTGGTTACATGTTAACTGCTTTTTATAGAACACATTACATTTTTTTCTAAAGTGCTGTGACATGATCTCGTTAAGTTTCCTAGTAGGGAGGGGTTGGGTCAGAGATCTCCTGGGACAGAGATTTACCAAGGAGGAGGAGCAGGGCTGTGCTGGGCAGCTGGCTCTCCTTCCCTGACTGTCCTTCCTGTGTAGCCCCTGAGTTTTAGCTAACTGGTAACATCAAGAAAAATTTTTATCGTGATATCAGTAAATTAAATGCACATGATTCACGAAAAGATCTTAATTGTGGTTCAGATTCCTTGGATGTCCTGAAGGTCACTGGTAGTGGACACTGGCTTCGTTTTTCTTCCTTTTTTAAATCTCCTTTAAAAACATCAGTAGCTTGGATTTCCTTCAGCTACAGAGGACGAAGATGGGGCAGTCAACAGTGCTGCTACAGCGACCTCATCTGGGTGGACCCAGAACGTGGTGCTTTTGGTCTTCTGTAGTCTTGACCTTTGTTAATGATCCCTCTCCTCAGGAGAGCACTGGTGGCTGAGTCTCTTATTGCTGCCAAGGAGTGGCTATGTGTTTAACTGGTCTTGTTTAATCCCTCTCAGTGGTATTGCAAGAGAGATTATTATTCCTCTTTGCAAATGAAGAAATTGAGGCTTAGAGATGTCTGGAGACCACAGTGATTATGAATGGTGGGGTTTGGGCCTAAACCCAGCCTTCTGATCACAAAGCTTGTCTTTCTATCTACTTTGCATTGAACAGAAGGTTAAAACACTATGATGTAATAATAGAAGTGGATGTTTTGGGAGAGGGGAGGAGGGCTGGGTGTAAAAAGACAAAGAGGAACACGTGTCTTGAGAGGATAGTTGTTTTCTCATCTGCTGGGAAGAGAGCCCCAGGTCCAGAGGCTTCAGTTGCCCCCTGAGTTGGACTACACACGGATGATGAGGAACGGGGACATTGCCTGCTACCGAGGATTTAGAAAGGTGACTCAGGTTATAGCTTCCTGAGGAGCTAATTGCTGAACTGGACATTTCGGTTCTTAGGACAGAGGCAAAGAGTTGCCTTCAGGATTGCTCAGCCAGCTCCAAAAGGGGACGTGATTGGGAAACTCCTCTGAGTTTTAAATGGAGCGTGAGGAGATTCGGTGCTGGCCTGCTCCATTGGCCCAGGTCTGGGCAAGATCAGAGCTGGGTGATTCCTCAACCCCTTGATTTATTTAATTCTTTTCTGGTTTTTCTTGGCTCTACTCCAGGGGAATACAGAGAGAACCGTGTGGCAATACCACTTTCGGACCTGGCCGGACCACGGAGTGCCCAGTGACCCTGGGGGCGTGCTGGACTTCCTGGAGGAGGTCCACCATAAGCAAGAGAGCATTATGGACGCAGGGCCTGTGGTAGTTCACTGCAGGTGACCGGCCCCTGCCCCCTGTCTGGGCAGCAGCCTGGCCCAGCTCTTAATGCCACTAGGGCTTGCTTTTACCTACTCACCCCAGCTTCTTGAACTGTGAGAAAAATTTAATCTCTGTTTGAGGCATGCATAAACTGCATTAAGGGACACTTTGACCCCAGAGTATTTTTCTCATGGGTCCTACGGGACTGCCAGGTATTGGCGGTGGCCGGGCAGAGGGTGGTGAACTTGATCCTTATCCTCAGGGAGCCCTTACATAGTCTAGTAATGTCTGCTTGTGTTTTTTGCTTTTTTTAAAAAATATGGTGATTTAGAATTCATCGCTTTGATTGTGATCCTATTCTCTTCTGCCACAGAAATAGGATACGTTTCCCCCCCGATAAGACACTTGTTTGCTTCAAAAGATTTGGACCACTCCCCACCCAGGCTCTGGAGCCCCGCCCGTGGCCTCTACCACGGTTTACAGCCTGCTGGCACCCAAGTCTGGGCTTCGTGGTTATACCGGGGAAAGTTTAGTTTCCCAAAGCTCATCCATACATTGGGCAAGTAGCTGCGTGTGAAACTATTCGCTTTCTTAAAAGCTACTGTTTATTGAGCACTTGCTCCATTCCAGCCTCTGAGCTTAGTGTTTTCCATACATTACTGACATTTGAGCCACACAACAACCTAGTGAAGTATGTACCATTATCCCCATTTCACCGACGAGGAAACTGAGGGTCAGAGAGGTATGGGACTTACCTCAGGCACGTTGTACTGGAGAAGCTGGGCTCCAAGTATAGGTTGGACTAACTCCAAAGCCCTGTGCTCTTAGCTAATCTATTCAAATAGACAATCTTATAAATACTCCCAAGAGCAGACATTGTTTCTGTTAATATTAGTAGCTTGGTTTTGAGTCTGAAACCCCCATGAACGACTCCATTGTCATTGCTCTTTGTCCTTCTGCCCACAGTGCTGGAATCGGCAGGACAGGGACGTTCATTGTGATTGATATCCTTATTGACATCATCAGAGAGAAAGGTAGGTCATCTGGAGGGCAAGAAGCGATAGTTCCTGTTTTTAGTTTATGTGCTAGTGAAAATAGCCCGGGGGAGAGAATTTGAATGTTAAAACATTTTCACAAAATCTGGGCTGAAGACTTTGACTTTCAGTATGTTTACGAGAGAACAAAACTGATTCTATTTGAGCTTTTGACATAAAATAAAGCTTAGGAGCTATGGGTTCCACTGCCGGGGACTTTTGTTGAATGTGCTTCGGTGGTCTCTGCCCACCCACCTCATCCTGGCTGGACGTTATGGGGTTGGAAAGTGAGGGGGTCCCGACCTCCGACACTTTCTCAGGTAATTTTCTGGAATCATTTGTATCGGTCAGAAGGCCATTGTAGCCATTGGAACACGTTCAGTTAGAACATTAAAGACTAAATTTGCTCTATTTCTGAGTCTGCTAAAAGTTGTGCATTACACCACTTCATCCCGGCGCTGCGGTTTCTCCTAGTGCCTCATGGTGCTTGCTTTGCAGGCGTCGACTGTGACATCGATGTTCCCAAAACCATTCAGATGGTGCGGTCTCAGAGGTCAGGGATGGTCCAGACAGAAGCACAGTACCGATTCATCTATATGGCCGTCCAGCATTACATTGAAACACTACAGCGCAGGATTGAAGAAGAGCAGGTACCAATCCTGGAGGGGCTGGAGTGCAGATTTTCATTTTCTTTTTTTTTTTTTTTTTAAAGATTTTTATTTATTTATTTGAGACAGAGAGAATGAGAGAGAGAGAGCACATGAGAGGGGGGAGGGTCAGAGGGAGAAGCAGACTCCTTGCTGAGCAGGGAGCCCAATGCGGGACTCGATCCAGAGACTCCAGGATCATGACCTGAGCCGAAGGCAGTCGCTTAACCAACTGAGCCACCCAGGCGCCCCGTAAGATTTTCATTTTCTTTTCTGGGCAGCTCAGTCAGATATGCTCTCCTTTTGAGCAGAATGAGCCTCTGAGAGACAGCTGCCATTGTTTGGGAATGGGAAACTCGTTCCCAACCAGGAAGGGCCTCTCTTCACAACTCTGATATTTCAGTAGGGGGTAGCTTAGGGAGGTAGCTGCTATCGTTCTGGCCTGGCAGATTGGGGAACTGCCCCATGGAAAGGTTAGGATCTTCCCAGACAGACCCCAGGACTTTCACACGGTAAGTTTGGAACTGAAAGCCTCGAAGTTTCCAGCCTGTTCTGGTTTAGATCCGGACCGTCTTTATCTGGATCCCATCTTTTAAACGAATGCTTCACTCTTCATAGCACACAGCAGTTTGAACCATCAATTTGGTTGAGTTGGAAACAGTGAAACTTCAATTTTAATAAGCCATGCATAATGAAGAAGAATGTGGAGTTGGATCCTTTCCATTTGAAGCTATTCATAACAGACACAAAGCTGAGTTAATTAGGAATACGCTGAGAGGAGGAAAATGAGGAGACTGCTCCTTTGGGGATCTGGGCGTTTCCCCCCACCCCCCCCCCTCAGCCCCGCTGCTCTGCTGCAGACAAGGAAGTGTCTGAACAGCACGGATACCTGCCTGCCTGCTTTACCCTGTGTATTGCCTTCCAGAGAACCCGGCTTCTTAGAATGGTACCTGCTGGCAAATTGTGAGACTTCCAGCCTAGCAGAATGGCAGCCACATTATCAAAGATTGGCTAGCCAAAGTAAGATACCTGTTAGTTAGCTTAGTAGGTTCTCAGTTCACATAACAACACTAGAGGGGCACCTGGGTTGGCTCAGTCGATTAAGCATCCGACTCTTGGTTTCGGCTCAGGTCATGATCTCAGGGCTGTGAGATTGAGCCTGGCATCGGGCTCTGCACTCAGTGCAGAGCCCGCTTGTCCCTCTCCCTATGCTCCTTTCCCCGCTCTCTCTCAAATAAATAAATAAAATCTTAAAAAAAAAACCCAAACACCAGATTGTTTTATTGTACAAAAACATCTTCAGCAATAGTGTATGTATGTATAGATATGTAAGGTCAAATAATCAACAAAGTACCAGTTTTGACCTTTAGTGCTTTAAATCTGACTTGGTGTTATCGTTAAGTGTTGTGAAATATTTAATAGTTACTACAGGCTATTTTCTTTTTTCTTTCTTTCTTTTCTTGAAGATTTTATTTATTTGAGAGAGAGAGCACAAGCAGGGGGAGCAAGAGAGGGAGAAGGAGACTCCCCGCTGAGCAGGGAGCCTGACGTGGGACTGGATCCCAGGACCCTGAGATCATGACCTGAGCTGAAGGCAGATGCTTAACCAACTGAGCCACCCAGGTGCCCCACTATAGGCTATTTTGTATTTGTCTTCCAGTTATTCTGAATTTGGGCCAGGAATAGTTAAAGCATAAAGTTCCCCAAAGAGAAGGACCTCCTAATAAATACAAAGAGTATTTATAAACAGTATAAACACAGTTGGTACAAATTCAGGAATATCTTGAGGCATATAATGTAATCTTGTTTAGAAAAGCTGGGGGAAAAGCTCTCTTTATTTCATTCAGAAGCTTTGTTATTTATTCTTGTTTTGGCGACTTGAGGGCCTTCCCCTCCCATCCTTGATAGCACTTCACATCTTCTCATTACCATATATAGTCTCTCTGACCCTAAATCTCAAGTTGTAATTTGGATTTAGGAGCTCCTTTAAAAATATCTTTATCACTGCTGTTTTTGGGGGTCGGGAGGAGCTAGACAAAAACAGAACATGTTCCTTAAACAGTGAAGCTGCCTGAGTTTTAAATTAAGCAAAAGAATGAAACTCGTTTAGGATCATTGGTTAATCCTTTTAAATACCATCATTTCCACAATTCTAAAGAGTTAAGGACCTTCTGGATTGAAGGAATTTGCCAAAGAGGGTAAATGAAAAAAGACAGTGCCTCAGGGGTGGTGAGCCCGGGGATGGAAGCAGGAAGTAGCACCAGGAGGAGGCGAAGCAGAGACAGGGGGGCGTCCAGGGGAAGGTGCAAGTGAGGCGAGCTTGAGAAAATTCTCAAGTTTTTATAAAGGATTCTTCCCACACTCTGCCATTTACTTGAAAGTAGATTTCTTTGTTAACTTCCACTTAACAATATTAAATTTTTTTTTTAATTTGCAAAAACAGTGTATGGAATTCCCTTCACCCTGTTAACATTTTAACACACTTTATCATTCATTTGTATTTTCTCTCTATATATACAATATGTACTTTTAAAAATGAAATGCTCCTAAGTTGCCACCATTTGTGCGCCCTTGCCTCTTAATACTCTGACGTGTGTGTCCTAGAAATGAAGACATTCTTTTCCCTGACCATCGTGAAATGAGCAGAACCAGGGAGCTAGCATTGATACGGCACTGTTTTCTAATCTGCGGACCATATTCAAATTTTGCCAGTTTGTCCTCCTCCGGTCTTTCTGTGGTCCAGGGTCCCCTGGTGCATGTGGTTGTCAAGTCTCTTTACTTTCGTCTGGGACAGTCTCTCAGTCTTCATCTTCCTCGACCTTGCCATTTTTAAAGCGTTCAGGCTAGTTATGTCGTAGAATGCCCCTCAATTTGGATTTGTCTGATGTGCTTTCTCGATTAGATTCAGGTCTTGTGTTTTTGACAGGCCTGGCACAGAAGTGATGTTGCATCCTGATACCTCCCATCAGGAGCACCTCTATTGATGCATTTCATCGACTGGCAATGTTCTCTTTCTCCACCATACAGGGACGATTTCCCCCTTTTTAATTAATATCTTACAGGAAGATGTATGAGACTATATAAATAACCTCCTTTCCATCATACCTTTTACCCACTGATTTTACATGTCATGTATTCACTATTCTTGCCTGGAAAAATTAGTCCTGTGATATCTGCCCAGTGGTGATTTCCTACGTCCATAATTCCCTTTTCCCATCTGAGTACTAACCAGGCCTGACCCTGCTTAGCTTCCGAGATCAGACGAGATTGGCACGTTCAGGGTGGTATGGCCGTAGACCTTAATTCCCTTTTCATTTATTAGGTGGGAGCCTTCTCTAAGGAAGAGCTTTCCCTTCTCATTCATTCATTCATTCATTCATCATTCATTCATTCATGTCAGAATGGGTGATAGTTCATTACTATTTATTTTGTTGCTTAAATTGTCCCAAATTTGGCTAGTTGGGCACCTGTTCTAATTGGTTCTTGCGTTCTTTTGATAGTTCCTATTTTTGAGTACTTCCTTTTTTTAAAATGATGTTTTTATTTAAATTCCAGTTAACATACAGTGTAAACTTGGTTTCAGGTGTAGAATTTACTGATTCAGCACTTCTTACGTACAATATCAGGTTCTCCTCACAAGCGCCCTCCTTAATCCCCTCACCTAGTTCACCCATCCCCCACCCCTCTGGTAACCATTAGTGTGTTCTCTGTAGTTGAGTCTGTTTCTTGGGGGGGAAAAAAGTCTTGTTTCTTTGTTTGCCCCCCCCCCATTCATTTGTTTAGTTTCTTATATTTTTAAAGATTTTTTATGTATTTATTTGAGAGAGAAAGAGCGAGTGAGAACAAGAGCAGGGTGGAGGATCAGAGGGAGGGAGAGAAGCAGACTTCCTGCTGAGCAGGGAGTCCGATGCAGGGCTCGATCCCAGGACCCTGGGATCATGACCTGAACTGAAGGCAGCCGCTTAACCGACTGGGCCACCCAGGCGCCCCCATCTCACTTCCTTATACTTTTTGACACCAGAATATGAAGACTCATCCTGTACTTTCCCAGCTGTTTTTCATAGGGGCCCTGATTCTCTTTATTGTAGAGTGGTATTTGGAAGCCAAGATCTGGGTACTGGCTGTGCTTATTTGTACTGGTATAGCATTATTTGTGTGGCTCATTGCTAATTAATTCGTGCTCTAGTTGAGCCCTTGCTCTACAACCTCATATTTATATGAGGTTTATATATTATATGAGGTGTATATATATATATACACACACATACTCTCCTCCCTCCGATAGTTTTTTTAAATTAACTTTTTATTTTGGAATAATATTTAAACTTCTAGAAAAGTAGCAAAGATAATACAGAGTTCCTATGTGTGCATCATCCATTTCCTGTAACGTTAACATCTTGTATAACCATGGTACCTTTATCAAAACTAAATAATTAACCCCGATGTATTGCTGGTAACTAAGCTCTGCGATTTATTTGGATTTCACCAGTTTTCCCACGAATGTCCTTTTTTTGTTCTAGGATCCTGTCCAGGATCCCACGTTGAATTTAGTGCCCCTGTGGGTCTGTACTAGTTTCTTAGTCTTTGTTTCTCATGACCATGACACTTCTGAAGAGTTCTAGTCAGGTATCTTGTAGAATGCCCCTCAGTGTGGGTTTGTCTCATGTTTTCTCGTGATTTGATTAGAGTAATGGATTTTTGGGCAGAGTACCAATAAGGTGAGTTGCGAGGTGCCCTTCTCATCACTCAAGGGGCACCTGATAACAACATGGCCTGGGGATATTAACCTTCATCACTAGGCTTAGGTGGTGTCTGCCAGATTTCTCTCACTGTAACAGTGACTCTTTTTCCTTGTCCTTACTCTATTCTTTGGAAGTGAGTCATTTAGTGCAGACCATACCCAAAGGAAGGGGAGGAATTAAGCTCCAGCTTCTAGAATGGGTAGTTTCTACATAACTTATTTAGAATTCCTTTGTAAGGAAGATTTGTCTCTTCTCTCTATTTATCCTGTTTTTTCTTTTCTTTTTATTTTTTTGAGAGAGAGAGTGCATGTGCACACAAGCAGGGGAGGGGAGGAGCAGAGGGAGAGGGAGAGAGAATCTTTTTTTTTTTGATGTCGTGTTCCACGATTCATTGCATATAACACCCAGTGCTCCATGCGATACATGCCCTCCTTGATACCCATCACCAGGCTAACCCATCCCCCCACCCCCCCTCCCCTCTAAAACCCTCAGTTTGTTTCTCGGAGTCCATAGTAGGGAGAGAGAATCTTAAACAGGCTTCTTGCCCCCCGCATGGAATGGCATGGGGCTTGATCTCAGCGACCCTGAGATCATGACCTGAGCCAAAATCAAGAGTTGGACACTTAACTGACTGAGCCACCCAGATGCCCCTAGAGCATTTTCATTTGATCCTTTCTTCCTGCTCTTGGCTTTGGGGCTTTTCTTTTCTTTTTTTTTTTTAATTAATATATGCTTTATTTTGTAGTCTTAATTTTTTTTTAAAGTAATCTCTATGCCCAACATGGGGCTCGAATTCACGACCCCAAGATCAAGAGTCGCATGCTCTACTAACTGAGCCAGCCAGGCACCACAGGCTTTTTTTTGTAATTTACAGTTTAAGAATGGACTGCAATTACTTCACATGGCAGGATATTTAATGCCAGATGATTTTTGAGACTTGTGGTTGGACCCTCCTCTCAACCTTGACTGTATCAACTGTCAAGCCCGTAAGATTTATTATAAATATTACAAAAAGTTTGGTAACTCTGCTGTGTCCTTGAATCCAGGTGAAGGATAGATCAATTTCAGACCATTTTTTTAGGGCTCTGTAACAAGTCTCCCTCCGCCCCCCCTAAAATCAAAACAACCCCTATCCCCTGAGATTTTTTTCTTGTTCTATATGGACAGCCTGGGCTGTCACAGTACTCAGAAATAAACTCATCTGATTTGTGGATCAGTTTTATTTCTTGTTCTTTCTCAATAAGCTAAGAAGCTCCAACATTTTTATGTTTTTCTTTGAGTGACTTAATTCATTGAAATAATTCCTGTCTCATTTGTATTAAGTATTCCCCATTAGAAAATTCTTTTGTAATTTATGTAGAAGTACTTTTTTTTTTTTTCCCTTCAAGAAAGTAGTAGGGAAGGAGAGATGGGGGTTGCTGTTCAGCGGGTATAGAGTTTCAGTCACATGAGACGGAGGAGTTCTGGCGGCCTGCTGCCCACCGATCGCACATCCTTGACAGTACTGCCCTCTGCACCCCAAATTTTGTCAAGAGCCTACATCTCATGTTATCTGTTGTTTTCCTTTCACCACAATTTTAAAAAAAGTGTTGAGTAGAAAGCAAGCTTATGCTTCAACTTATTGATTGTATATTTCACATTTTTATTTAAAAAAAAAACAAGGTAGGATTTTTCAACTCCAGATTAAGGTTTTTGTTTTTTTAAGATTTTATTTATTTGACAGAGAGACACAGCGAGAGAGGGAACACAAGCAGGGGGAGTGGGAGAGGGAGAAGCAGGCTTCCCGCTGAGCGGGGAGCCCCATGCGGGGCTCGATCCCAGGACCCTGGGATCCTGACCTGAGCCGAAGGCAGACGCTTAACGACTGAGCCACCCAGGCTCCCCTGTTTTTTTTTTTTAAGTTATTTTAATAAGGCTCCACACCAGTGTGGATCACAACACAGGGCCTGAACTCACAACCCTGAGACCAAGACCTGAACTGAGACCAAGAGTCGGTGCCCAATTGTCCAGAATAAGTTTTAAAATAAGTGATGTTCTCTGCCAGGTCTTCCACTTCATGTTTCATTTTAAATTCTAGCTTTAAAAAAATTGTTTCCTGGGCGCCTGGGTGGCTCAGTTGGTTAAGCGACTGCCTTCGGCTCAGGTCATGATCCTGGAGTCCCTGGATCGAGTCCCGCATCGGGCTCCCTGCTCGGCAGGGAGCCTGCTTCTCCCTCTGACCCTCCCCCCTCTCATGTGCTCTCTCTGTCTCAAATAAATAAATAAAATCTTAAAAAAAAAAAAAAATTGTTTCCTGTGGAAGTCAGTATTTCAGTGCTAAAAATCTGTGACTGCTTTTTAAGGCCTTCCGATTTTTAAAAACAGTTGTTCAAAACATTAAAATACTGTGTAGAGTAAGCAAAACGTTTTCTCCTTGGATTTCTTTTCTGCAACTTCTTCCCTAGACTGTAAGTTCCGTGACGGCTGCTTGGTCAGTTAACAAACTGGTTGGGCTGCCTTAACAGAGTCTGAATAACAGAGGCTTCAACAAGATAGAAGCTCACTTCTCTCCTAACGTAAAAATCTGAGCTGGCAGGCCATTTGGGAAGGAAGTGGGCAGCTCGGCTCCATGGGGTCATCCAGGGGCCCGGGCACCCAGTCGTCCTTCAGGACGCTTCCTTTTCCACACGGTTGCAGACAGCACGATGAGGCAGACAGCAAGCAGCTAGCTGCCTGTTCATGTCAGGCTTTTTCTGTGGAGAGTCAGACAGGGAATCTCTTAGGCTGTCCAGCTGCCTTTTTATTTTGGTCCCATGTTCACATATGGTCGCAGAGATGCTTTAGAATTTATAGGTTAGAGTCGTAACAACTCTTGTTGTATGTGAAATAAGATTTTCTACTGTTTTGGGATGAGTTTTGAGTAAGGAGAGGAAGAAGAACCTTCACCAGTGAATTTAAATTTGTTTTATGTTTCATTTTGAAAAAAATTTAAAGTAATAGTACTATACCTAAATTGGACGTTTTGTCACATTTCGTCCCAAGTCTTTTCCCATTTACTTATTTATTTATTACTAAGGTAATCTCTACACCCCACGTAGGGCTCTAACTCACGACCCCAAGATCAAGAGTCAAACGCTCTTCTGAGTGAGCCAGTCAGGCACCCCTCTTTTTCCTTTTATAACAGCAATCAAATGTGGCAGGTACAGCTGTCAGCCCAAGTGCACCCCTCATTTCTATCCTTGGAACCCCAGGGCAATCACTAGGCTTGCAGTCTTTTTTTTTAAAGATTTTATTCATTTATTTGAGACAGAGAGATAGAGTGCCAGCAGGGGGAGGGGCAGAGGGAGAGGGACAAACAGACTCCCCACTGAGTGGGGAGCTGGACGCAGGGCTCGATCCCAGGACCAGAGATCATGCGCCAAAGTCAGACGCTCAACCAGCTGAGCCACCCAGGTACCCCTGCTTGCAGTCTCTTTTTATATTTTAAAATACAAATACCAATAATCTACACATAGTAGATAACATTGTTTTATACGTTTAAAATGTTTAGCCAGATGGTATCTTACTGTTTTATTGTTCTGTAATTTGTGTTTTTCCACTTAACATTGATTATGACACCTGTTTTGATACACACACAGTCTCTCTTTTTGTTGCTCCTCTTCACTGTTGCAGATTATTTCATGATAGGAATACATCACATTGATTCATTCTCTTGGTGTAGACATTATTAAGAATAACATGTCCCTAGACATCCTTTCATAGCCCTTCTAGGCTTCTGTGTGTGAGTTTCTCAAGAAGCGAATGTTCAAGGTTGTCGAATATAGTTTTGTTATTACTGGATACTAACTGGTCAGTATTGCGAGTTCAGACTAAGAGCGCACCAATTTACCCTCTCCCAGCGCCGAATGGAAGTCTCTGCTACACGTCAGTATTTGATGTGGGCACGCTTTCTAATATTTGCTGGTTTTCTTGAATAATCCTAGAATGAAGGCAACATTATATAATGATGATTGGTGGGTTCGATTTTCAGAATTGGTTGTTTTTAGGTGAACTTAAGAGTGAAGAGTGATAAATCATCTAACCGGGACTCCTACCAAATACAGTTCACTCTGCATCTGTAATGAGATTACATTCTGCTGGTTTTCCTTGCCAATTTTTTTTTTTTTTCAAGAGTATCATTAGAGCCAAAAATGAAGTTTTAAAGGTGCTAGGGTCTTTTCTGGGTGGGAGGCGGGGAAGAGACACTAAAGCATTACCATCCTCTGTACCTGTGGGCCAGTTTTACTTGGAGTGAACTTATTTCTGGAACTCTTCTCCCAGCTGTTTATCTGAGAATCATTAAATGTGTTGCAAGTGAACTATGAAATGATTAGATGTTAATGTGGCAAAGAAAGTGAGAATTCTCTCTTAGCTCAGAAAGAGATACATTTGATTTAATATACTAAGTTGTTAATGCATGACTCTGTGCTTTTGAATTACATGGTTCAAAAGTACTTTTCACTTGTACGGTGTTACTTACATTGAGGTGAATTCCCTGACATTTGATCAACATATCATTATTTAGGGTCCAGCCTTTCTGTCTGCCTGTCTGTCCGTCTCTCTCTGGTAAAATGCCTTCTTTGCTTCTTTTTCCCTTTAAAAAAGTCCAATTCCTCATATATGCAATCTTCACTTTTCAGAAAAGCAAGAGGAAAGGGCATGAATACACAAATATTAAGTATTCTCTAACGGACCAGACAAGTGGAGATCAGAGTCCCCTCCCGCCTTGTACCCCAACACCATCTTGTGCAGAGTAAGTAATAATGAAGGGCATTCTTGCTACCTGAACACAATCCTATAGAAAAGCTTAAAAAACAGCAGGTCTTTGCAGCACAAGCCTGTCATTATTGTTGCCCAGCTGATTGGTGAGTGTGTCAGTGGCTTTCTGAACTAAATTTTAATTCACCTAAACCAAAGGCCGATTGGTACACTATTTCTGATTATGTGAGGTTATCGGTATATCAAGTGGTGGTTCTCTAAGAAGAATCTTCATTTTCCTTTTTATGGGGTGGGGATAACTTCTGTTGTTAATGATAGACAACAAAAGTGGGTAACACCCCTTTGGTTAAGACTCTTTGCTAAGTAAAAGTAAATAAGTTGACCGTTAATGTCTCGACACCGTCATGATCTGTTAATTTTTTGGTCAACAGAGAACAGACATCTACTTTGAGCCTTTAAACCAAGAGTCTGCAAACTACAGCCCCCGGGACAGATTCTGGCCATGCCCTGTTTTTGTACAGCTCACGAATGGTTTTTAAGGGGTTATATTTAAAAAAAATGAAAATAAAAACGGCAGCACAAAAAATATTATATGCCAGAGACTGAGTATGGCCTGCAGTGACTAAACTATTTACCCTCTGATCCTTTTCAGAAGAACTTTGCCAACCCCTTGTTTAAGCTAAAACATGTGTTAGGAGAACATTTGTTAAATCGATTATGTGAACCGCAGTCGTAAATTATTGTTTTTCTCTATATTCTAAGGTAGTCTGTGGTATAACATTTACTTTTTATTTTCCCCCAAGAGTCTTATCTCTGTTTGCTTCTGATGTGAATTTTTAAAGCCCTGCTGACTTTAATACTTTATATACACGTTTTAGATAGCAAATATGAGGCTTGTATTTACATTTGGCTTCTAGTTAACATTGAAATGAAATTATACAGTAAAAGTGTTCCCTCCACCAAGCTGCCTCTTCCTTCTGCCTGCTTTTTCCTTTCCCGGTGGACTGATGGGGAAAGTTGGTATTTTAAATTGCTATCTGCAGTCATTTGCCCTGGCACCAGCTCGTCAGGGCTCTGAGTCCTGGCCAGAGAGCGTTCCCCGAATATTGCCAGAGCTCATGAACTCTGACGACTCCCTTATTGCCAGTGGCCTCGCCGTGCGGCAGGTTCTCTGCCTCTCCACTCCCACCATGTTCCTTACAGGGTGTAACGCAGGATACCCCGGACCCCAAGCCCCTTCTTGTTCCTCTCAGAGTGGCATCTATGGCTGCCGGGTCCCCTGTCCCCCCAAGACTGCTCTGATCTCCACTCCCTGCTCAGCAGAATGGAGTCTGGCCTCGGATGCACTGGCCCTCCATCCCAGGGCCCTGCACCACCACTGAGCTTCACCCTCATTGTTCCCCTTCATGTAGCTGGGTTTGGGGCTACATGGGTCTGTGGGTCTCACTGCTCCTGCACTTTCCTTCCTTGGACCTCTGGCCCATTAGGATCCCTCTGCGTGAAACGAATACCTGTCCTTTCTATGTGCTCGCGTCTCACCGGCTTGAAGGTCTTACTCAAAGGCCTCATCATATAGGCCTCCTTTGCTCTGCCCGCCAGAAAAAAGGCTCGCTTTCCTCCAACCCCAGAGAGCACGGGGACTCGAGGCTCTTACTCCACTTTGAGCTTGATATTGCTGTATGTTTTATGTCTTACAGCCCGTCCTAGAACGCAGCTCCTGGGGCCTGTGTCTGCACCGTATCGGGTCCTCAAAGAATGGAGTATGTGCTTTATAAATACCATGCGAGCTTGGACAGCATGGTCGGCGTTTTTATTCATGTTTTCTTTCCTTTCTTTTTTTTTCTTTTTCTTCTCAGAATGAGAGAAGATAATGCTAGAGTCTATGAAAACGTGGGTCTGATGCAGCCGCAGAAAAGTTTCAGATGAGAACACCCACCAGGACGTCAGCACAGACCTAGGTATTTAAATGGAGGCACTCACCGGTTGTTGATATCACTTGTGGTGTTTTTAAGCAGGCAGATCGTTTGTGAGTATTCTAGCGAGGGGCACCGTGACGAAGTTTTACGAACCAGCCTCTTTTTTCTCTTCCTAAGCTCCTTTTTCTAAGCTGGATTTATTTTCAAGTTCATTAAGGATTGAAACCAAATACAGAATTAATTCTGGGAGGGGCCACGCTGGTACTTCATTGTGGAGCGATGGTTGGTACCAGTGAGCAAGAGTAGATGTCAGTGCCCCTGGGAGATGCTGGGAGATGATCTGTGGGGACCCGGGAAGCGGGGGGACTCAGCTCTGGAGGGTCGGCACCAGGATGCCCGAGTTGTCATCCCCCTTGGCCCCTGCCGGGCTGTCTGACCCAGGGCCCTGGCATCCCTGGGCCTGCACCCCTCTCACCTCCACACTCCTACGAGCTCTGTTGCTGGGAACTCCTCTCGCCTCTTCCCTGTCAGTCACCTCTGTAGACAGTGACCCACTTCGTGATGTGTGTTGGAAACTCACAGTTTCAGTATTGCACGGTGAAATTCCCATTGCAGCGGGTAGTGTATTTAAAAGCTGTCCATCTCCTTGAAAAATGGTTTAATGCCTTGAGAAACTTTTAGATGTGTGCTCCTTAAAAATTCTAACTTATTTCTTCCCCAGATGTGGACCTTTACCCTCTCCCTAAAAAGATCAAGACCAGACGCAAGAAAGTATGTGTGAAGAATGATTTGAATTTGGAAGGCTTGTGTTGTGGTTGACTACCTTTGGATAAGCAAAACTCGAAACCATTTAAAGACCACTGTATTCTAACTCAACAATACCTGATTACCAATTACTCATTTCCTCAGATAAGAAGAAATCGTCTCTACAATGTAGACAGTGTTATATTTCATAGAATTTTATTTTAAATTGAGGAAGCAGTTAATTGTGCTCTTGTGTTTTACAGATGACAGTGATTCAAATTCTACTTATTGGCATTTTCTTCTCTTTTTATAACCTTAAAAATTCAATTATTTTTCTCTTTGTGAGGGATGACAGGGCACTTATAAGAGGAAAAACGTTTTGGGAAGGGTGACAACATCCCGTGGGAGTGAGAACAGTTTCATTTATCATTGCTTATCCAGTAGTGGAAAAGTCATTTGATGGCCTCTTTTTTTGGCTAAATGATCATTAAGCCAGTGGCCCCGGACTGTCAGAAGTCGACTCTCTACCTTTGCATTGCCATTAAAAAATCATGGGAAAAAAGAATCATGGAAACTTGGGAGAAAAGGTGTGTTTTCTTCTTAGCGGATCGCCAGTCACCATTCAGCCTGTTGGCTGAGAAGGAGGTGGTGGGAAAATGTTTGTCATGTTTTCTTTTCATTTGAGTCATCGTCTTGTATTTAGAAAAAGCGCATCTGTGGATAACCAACCAGTGTCGTGGTTATCGATTGTTGGTGACAAACCACCCCAAAATGCAGTGGCTGAAACCATACTTCTTTTGTTTGCCTCCTCCCTGTTCTTCTTCAGTCTGGGCTGGGCTCAGCTGAGCTGTTCCTGTCCTCTCGCTGGTGTTGCCCGTGTGGTCAGCTGGTCGCCCAAAGACACTGGGGTGGCTGGGCTGCTTTCTGCAGGTCCCCAGGCCTCTCCTCCATGCGATGGTTCCAAGGGTCCCCGCCGGCAGGGTAGCTGGACCGCTTACATGGCAGCTCAGAGCTCCCGAGGGTATCAAGCAGCAATGGCCAGGCCTTCTTAAGACTTAAACCCAGAACTTCTGCTGCCCTCTATTGATTAGAGCATCACAGGCCCAGCCCAGATTCAGGAAGGGGGGATGGCACGAGCGCATGAAGCAGAGGTGTGATTCATGGGGGGCCCCCCAGAGTAATAGGCTGTCAGAACCAGTGTCACAGGAAAACAGCAGTTGTTAGCAAAAGTAGAAGCTGCTGGTGACGTTGGGAAATGGAAGCTGCTTCCAATAGCTGGTGTAAGCTGGAAGTCAAACTGAGAAATAGAGGGCCTTCTAGAAGCTTCCTGAACCACTTCTGCTGGCTCTGAGCATATTTTCTGAGCCATCACTTGGGGAAACTGGTCTCGTAAGGATGGATGTGTTGAGGGGGCAGAGCATCTGAAAGCAGAACTACCCTGTCCCGGGGCCCCCCGCAGAGGGCAGTGCTTCCTCCCTGCCCGTGGTTTCAGGCAGGCTGCAGCCCAGAGGGGGTGCTCCTCATGAGGCCTTGCCTCAGACTGAATTAGCAGTAGTTCATTTTGGTTCTAATCAAGCAGTAAGATTTGCTACCGTTCTACCTGAAGTGCCTTCTCCAAAGACATCCTCTTTGCCCTGTGTGTGGAATCAGCCTTCAGTGAGTATGTTTCAGTGGAAGTGTCATTGGTTGACTTTGTAAAGATAATAAAATGCCACGGTGACTTGGCCATAAGGTTACGGTCTCCTCACGCAGATTCTTCTGACTTTGGCTCCCGATCCAGCCCCGGTAGTACTTCTGTTCTGAGGTCTTTACCTCCCGTGAAAACTTGAGGTAGTTTGGGGACTGCCTTCGCTGCCATTTTCACAGATAAAATGCACATTGACCCCCCCCCTCCATTGAGCCTAGAATGGCTTTAGAACGCAGGTGTGGCCCAGAGGTAATTACCTTCTAAGGGGAATGTCAATAACTGCTGTCTTCTTGTCAAGCTTGTAAAGAAAGAGATTCCAGTTCAGTATGTGCAACAACGATCTTGAGTCCTGTTCTTTTTATTGCATTGTCACATTGAAATTTTCTAGTTTGCCTTGATTTTGTGGTACAGTTGAGACTCTGGACTTTGGGGGCCAAGTCTTTCACCAGCATACAAGGGTTTGGTTGTACAAATATATGTGCTGCATTAACATCTCTGCCTGTAGCTTAAGATCAAGTTGTTTTGTGCTTGGAACAGAAACGCCTGATCTCGGCTAGCTTTGTTTGTTACAGGACATTGATTTCATTTAGATTTCCCTCCACGAAGTCAGCAAACTATCATGTTATGTAAACTTCTGCCAAGACAAGATTGTAGTAGTCCCGAGGTTGTTGAGGTTTGTCGTGTGTCTGGTGAAAAGGGGATTGCAGGTTCTCAGATGAGATTGCTCTCCCCGAGTTGGAGTCAGGGAGAGAGGCCATGAAGATGTGGGGAGCTGGAGGTGCAGGTGTTAAAAAGTAGTGGAAATGAAAGTTCGAAAGAGGTGGTTTGTGAGGAGGTCAGAGGGCGCGGGGCCAGCGCAGTCAGAACTTGAGTAGGTTGAATCAGGTTACCTGGCAAGTAGGTGTGATAGATACAGGGATGCAGGCTGCTCCCGGGTTGCTGGTAGACATTAAATTTGCACAATATCCTGTAGCTGGTTGAGTATTTTAAAATGATAAGCATAGGGTTTTATATTTGGGGTGAAGAAATTATCTGACACATGGTATTGGGGTTTTTTTAAAACAAATTTCAGAGTCTTAAGAGCTTTTTTTTAAAAATAAATAAATAAATAAAAAAGACACCTCACCTCCAGTGTGTGACCCTCCTGAAAATCACGGACCTCTCTCCCATTGAATCAGTGACTTTTCAGATGCGGCTAAATGGGGATGAGAAAACTGCCATATGACTTTCTTGGTGTTTGTACTTTCTTTATGGAGCCTAGTTGCTTTGGAACAGCCAAGAAGATTATCAAGATTATTTTTAGGGTCTGAAGAACTAATATGACATCCTGGGTTATTTCTAGTTTGGGGGGAATGTGGAAAGAGTATGCAATTGTGAAGTGTTTTGTTGTAGCTTATTAATCCATAAGGGGAACTTAGACTGTAGACATAAGGACACACCCAGTACAGTTTCTGTTTTCTGTATGTTGTTGGGGCAATAAAGTTTTATATAGCAAGCACATGGCCTCCCTGATTTCAAGATGCCTTTATTAGGATCTGTATTAGCCCTTAATGTTGTTGAAACCTTTCTCCCTCTTCCTCTTGAAAAATAAGTTCCAAAATACAGTTTATTGTATCTTCCATCATTGAAAAGTTTGTTCTTTTTTCACTATGGGCAGTTCACACAAGGCAAAAATATTAAACAGTTGGTTTTAGTGTGTTGTATAACTTTACTGTATATCAAACTAATTTCTACAAGTTTTCATCCTAAACCTCAAATCATGTAATTAATAATTTGCCTGTTTATTTATGACATAATTGTGATTCTTTTATTAATAAAAGCTAACGGAAAAGGATCCTTTATTAAGCTGATGACTAGACCTACATTTAATTTTCCTGCATTATATGAAGTATTGTACCAGAGTATTAAAAGATATGTAATATTTTATTGATAAATCTATCCTTTAAAAGGAATACATTTTAGGATGTCATCATTTTGATGTGAATCATGTAAATGTTGATAATATGCACTGTTTATTATACATTTAGTGTTTCAAGACATTCACTTCATTGCCTTTTTGCCCACGTATTATGTAGTCTGTTTGCAATTGTTTTTAAAAAATGACATGAAAAGAATAGTTTATGTAGAGAAACATTAGTGGATGTTAATGGTCTCCCCACCTGTATTTATGGGTGTTAGTTCAACTGCGTTGCTGGTTGCAAAGCCGTATTATCAGAGTAAACGTGTATTTGTAAACTGTATGGGAACTAAGAATTAGGAATAAAACCATTTTCTTATATTATGGTATTGGTCATTTACGTCATTGGAAATGTCCAGGAAAAACTGGGATTATAGGTCACTCAACCTCTTCTACCGGCCAAATGCTGACATTTAGCAGCTCTTATCTAGAGGATAACTCGGAATACAGAATACATGCGTCAGTTCCTCAAGCATTTATTGAGCACCCACTCAGTGAATAGCTTCGGGAGGCAGGGGATTCTATTTGCAAGAACTTAGGAGTAACGAATAGAAAGTATGTCTGTAAAACATACAGGAAATGATCAGGAAACATACAAACTGAATGTAAATGGTGCCAGGTGGGGATGTGGAGAGCAGATGACGGAGGAGGCTCGTAGGAGTAAATTGTATACCACAGGACACCAGCTTGTCCCTTGAGAATAGATTTAGGCCACAAGCAAACAAGGCCATTTGCTGCTTCTGACAGCACTGCATGAACATTGGCAGAAAGAAATCCATTTTACAAGAAACAAAACAGGTAGTTCCCAGTTCTCTGCTGTAAATCTAAGGAGAGAATCATATTACTCATTTGCACTGTGAAACAACTATTGTCCTCTCGGTCTCAACCGAGTTACTTAACGCCTATCAGTCAGATTCAGCTGGTTTTGGTGGTGAGACCAGTCCTCTAGCCATTCACAAAATAGGGAGCCCCTGGGCAATGCCAGATGCCTCCCGTGTGCTAGACTCGGGCCAAGCGGTGACTGAGACAGACATGGTGGCCACCCTCCCAGGGGTGACATTCTAGTGGGAGCTGGGCCTCGCATGAGTCAGAAGGCAGAAATGCTAACGGATACAGGCAGTGCTTGAAGATGCAGGCTGCCCAGACAGCAGGAAAGACAGAGATGAGACAAGTCCTTCCAAACGATGAGGATTAGGAGGAGGGGCTCTGTGCTACCGTGGTGGTGACCCTCTGGGGTCCCAGAGGAGGTGTTGGGTGCGCCGGCGGCCTGGAGACGCCTCATTCCCCGTAATCCTTCCTGAGATCCTGAGAAGGCAGTGACGATATCTTGTCTTCCACACGTCCTGAAAGAGCCTTCTAGTTCTACAGTTCCTACTCACAAGAAAAACCCCCAAGAAAATGTGCAGATTAGAGACAAAGCTGGAATTCCCGTAACAAATCAATTGTGGACAGAGAACTGAGGGTTTATTTGACTCGGTCCTCTTGTCAGTGAAAAGCTTCTGAAGAAAGTACCTGCTCACTGTTGGATCCCATTACATGTATGCTTTGCCTCCAGCCATTTGCTTGTGCTGTGAGAGGCCGCATAAAGGGACTCGAGCGAATGGTTTCACTGCAGGTGCCGTTCCGCCCCCCCCCCCTTCCCCAGGACCCAGCTACGCTTCCAAATAACTGAATTTGCAAAATGATAATGAGTCCAAAATAGAGATTTGCTGTTTTATCAATAGCAGCAGTTACCAATGAGCTGATACTCATGTCATTTGAGGTCAGATGATTTAAATCCTGAAGTGACATCATGATAGAAAATATCACTCCTAAAATAAAGGTTGTGAGAAAGTGATATTGCCCTGTAAAACCTGCCGGCAGCGTATGGACAAAGAGATTGCACGTGCTTCTCAGACTTGAAGTCCTCTCTACCTGATCAGACTGTAGAGTTATAACCGGACCGGCAGGGATTTGGGGGTCAGATTCTCTTCCATTCAGCAAAGATGAAATCCACCCCGCCAAGGTGCTAGGCACTGAGGAATGGATGAACAAAACAGTTCCTGCTTTCGAGGCACTGGGTGTAGCCGGGGAGGCAGATAGTTCTTTTTTTAAAAAATATTTTATTTATTTATTTATTTGTCAGAGCAAGAGCACAAGCAGGGGGAGTGGGAGAGGGAGAAGCAGGCTCCCTGAGGAGCAGGGGGCCCAATGTAGGACTCTATCCCAGGACCCTGGCATCATGACCTGAGCTGAAGGCAGATGCTTAAGCGACTGAGCCACCCAGGCGCCCCTGAGGTAGATAGTTCTAACTGGACTGGAGTAGTCAATATTCGGGGTGTTAATGTCAAATGAATACGTAGAGGAATGAATTAGGGGGGAGTTAGAATTCAGTCGTGGGGGTCGCCTGAGCTTCTTCCTGACCAGTGGGGAACCTCTGTGTGTGTGTGTATCTCTTTCTAAAAATGAACGTGCAAGACAATAGCTATTTCTCTGTTCAACTCTTGCATCTCTATCACTGAACAAAGAATAATTATCGTGATCCATATGGATGGCTTTCTAGAACTTTAGGGACACATTTTTGCAACGAAATGGAGTACATTTTTACATATTTTAGTGTTTCCAGTCTCTGTGTATCTATCCACTGCATTTTTAACTGTTCAGTTCTTGTCTAAATTCACTATTTTGGGTCATCTAGGCCAGTTTTGCTAGGACTTCCTTGTGTAATTTAGAGTGTACACTATGGTTTGGAATGAGCCATTTAATTCTGAATATAATCATCACCAACATCACATTTTTTAAGGGAAAAATCAAAATTCATGTCGTAGAGGCAAAGGATTTTTTTTCCTGCGTCGTGTTTTCATAGAAACTCACAAAGCAAAGTTAAATTGCAATTTAGTTTGGGTGCCTGGCTGGCTCAGTCTGAGAAACATGTGACTCTTGATCTCGGGGATCGTGAGATTGAGCCCCATGTTCGGTGTGGAGATTACTTAAATAAATAAAAAACTTTAAAAAATTGCCATTTAGTTTTACAATTAATAAAATTCCTTTATTAAGAATGATAACATTATGGGGCGCCTGGGGTGGTGTGGTCGGTTGAGCATCGGACTCTTGGTTTTGCCTTTGGTCATGTTCTCAGGATCGTGAGATCCAGCCCTGTGTCCAGCTCCAAGGTCAGTGCAGAGTCTGCTGGAGAGTCTCTTTCTCCCTCTGCCCCTCCTGCTTCTGCTGTCTCTCTAATAAATAAATAAATCTTAAAAAAAAAGAACAATAACATTCAAGCAGGACTATTCATAGAGAATTTGGGTGGTCTAAGCCCCTGGGTTTTAGCAGTGTGACCAAGTCTTCCAAATGATGGCATTTGAATGCGGCCTCATGATTCAGTCTCGGGTGCTTGTTTTGTTTTCAAACTATTTCTATTGTAGTAAAATACACAAAACATAAAATTCACCGTTTTAACCATTTTGTTCACACTGTTGTATGACTGTGACCACCGTCCATCTCCAGAACCATATCATCATCCCAACCAAAACTCTGCACCCATTCACCAACATGGCTTTGTTCTTAAAGTGTTCCTCTCCTGAGGCTTAAGGCTCTTCTGAATTTTGGAATTTTGCGTATTTTTTGAATCGATAATACATTCACTTAGAACAAAACATCGAAGTTTCAGTAGGGCACACGGGGAAAGATCTCTCCACGTCTTACCTCGCACGAAGAGTTTCCCATCATACCCCGAGGACCGGGAGCAACTTCGAACACATGTCCCTCGGTAAAGGTGCTGGTTGCTGGGGTCTTACACTTCTTACTAGGATAGGTAATGCTGAATCGTCCCCCAGTGAGGGTGTACCTGCTTTATCCCTGGCAGCCTGTTGCCTCACACCTTCATCCGCTTGGCATGTTGTCAGACCCACACCTTGTCTGTCCGACGGGTAAAAAAATCATGGCTCGATGTAACTCCGTTTGCATCTCTCACAAAAGTGAGGCTGAGCATTTTTAGGCCTTTCTGTGAACTCTTCAGGTCACTTGACATTTTTTTTTTTTTCTATTGGGTTCTGGATCTGTCTTGTTTTGAGTTTAGGAATAAAGCTATATTTTTCTAATTTTATTTTTTCCCCACCTCCGGGGGGAATAAAGATGTTTAATTCTCTACAACTGACTGAGGTGACTGGAATTACTGAGTCACCAGGATCTGTTTCTGTAAACTCTTCTGTAGGTGTGTGTGGGATACACCTGTCTGGGCTGGGAGTTGTGGTTTTGGCCTTGCTTGTGATTATAATTCTCAGGGGGGAATGAGGAGACCAGCCCGGGAAACACGTTCTCAGCACCCCCCGGTGATGCTGGATCTCTACATCAGCGGTCACGTGAGACCGGTCTTAATTATCCCGGCCACTGGGTTGAGAATGACTTCAGATTTTCTTTCAGATTCAAAAGTGCCGAACAGTATGCATGCAAGCATGCATCCATTCAACTGCTTATTAATGAGTACAATGAGTCAGGCATCGGGCTGGGTGCTGGGGGGAATAACAAAACAGGTGTCTGTCTTAATCCATGGCTTAAAGGACTTTATGGCCCATTTAAGGGAAGGAGACACACACAGGCTGAATACAAGATGGAAAGTAGAACAGCTATGGGCGAGGCCTGGCTCAAGACTAAGGGGCTAGAAGGACATGCCCACGCTACCCCTCATTCACTAAGGGACAGTTACGTGTCCGCCACTATTGGAAGGTTTGGACAGATTATTTCTTACCCGTAAGGTAGGTACCCTCCCCCGTCTTATGTTGCTCGCTGCCGTGTGTCCGGTGCTTGGCGCCTGCATGCACCTGTCGCTCAGTAGTTCAAGATCTGTGTGGAGAGCGGTGTCACCACCACCCAGTTGCTGAGGCCAGAAACGTGGGACTCGCCCTCAACTCCTTGAGCCTCACATTCCACCCTCGGCTTGCCCAACCCACCAGCCGGTTTTGTCCTTCCAAAATCTATACTCCGTCACTTCTCCCTATCTCTACTACCACCACCCTCATCTAGCCACAGGCACTTGTGAAGGTCAGGGAGATAGGGCAACAGTGTTCTTGGAGCCTGGAAAGATCTTAAGTGGCCTCTCCGTTTCCAATCATGCTCCACTATTGCCTTTCTCCCCACAGAGGGGTCTGTTAAACACGCACATCGGATTCCAACAGTCCTCTGCTCTCCAGTGGCTTCCCGTCATGGTCAGAATCAAATCCCAATTCCTTGCTGGGCTTCTGGAGTGGACAGAACTTCCCTGCATGGGACTCTCCTCCATATCTTATTATTTATTTATTTATTTATTAAGATTTGATTTATTTGAGAGAGTGAGCAAGTGAGAG